ATCGCTAAAGAAATAAAGTTCATCATATAGTGAATTTGGCTGATATGTTACAAATTGATAGAATTGTCCGCGAAGTCCTCCAGCCACAAATTTGCGCGAATCAGGATACCAGGCGCAAGCCGTAAGTGAATCATCGGTACTTTGAGTAACTGTTGCACGTAGTTCATAATCGGGTGGATCGATACTCCAAAGCCAGAGCTCTGGACAATCTTCAGGTCCACAGGCAATTAGAAGACTGCTATCGGGACTCCAAGCTATCAACGCTACACCATAAGTATGGCCTTCTAGCGTTTTCCTATGAGTTACTTTCAGTGTTTCCTGTTTTTATAAGAAAATTGTTATTTAATTAGTAAAGAGTTATTGCCTTAGTATGTTTAATAATTCACTTACTGGATCAACATCCCAAATAATGACAGTCATATCTTTAGAGCCTGTAGCTAGCTTAAGACCGTCGGGCGAGAATTTACAATACCACACTTCGTCGCAGTGATTATTGAGCACCTGTATAGTATGGCACGGGAACTGTTCTTTGCTGCAGCTGTGGTCCACGAGCAATGACACATTCTCTAAACTTGTCTAATTTACAATAGAAATGAATTATAATTATATCAGTATAAATTAGTAAAATAGTTAATGGAATAATTTTATGTTGTATAGATGTTAGGAGAAGTATCTGAAGCAGAACTCCATCACGGTAATGTAGCAAAATGAACGAAGTACCTGAGTGTTAGTTACATGGTATGTGCACTGTTGGTTTTGCATCTCCACAGCTTGGCATAGTAACGAGTGAAGGCGACGTGGTGGTAACATAATAGAGGGTGGTAGATATTTCTGTAGTCTGTCCATTAGGGCAGCTCTCGATGTTGCACCTTTGCCATCCCAGCCTGCACGTGTCTGTTAACAAGTGTCTATTTGCTAGTGATCAAATTTTCAGTAGCAGATTAGTTTCATAACATTTTTTATATGATACAAAATTTAATTCTTTGAAAGCACATTAAGAATCAAATGCTAATGCAATAAAATATATAATACACACATTACACAGCGTATGTTTTTACAATATATTATTAGTAAAATGTATATACTGGTACCTGTAATTCATCACGTCCACTGCACATCATAAATGCAGATAATTGATGGACACGGCCTGTGTTATGACCTAAAGGTGTAAGTTCGTTGCGTAAAACTTGCAATGCTTCCAATACCAATCCTTCTTCTAAATATTCTAGGTACTTTTGTTCTAGTAATAAGAACTTCATCTCCTGTAATCAGGAAGTGTTCATATGGTATAAGCATGTACATATAATTAATCGTGATTTAAAAGGTTGATAATATAAATATCTTTACCACTAGACTTTGACTTGCACCATTTAAAAATGACTTAAGTTCGTTTAGGTCATGTTCTGCCTTAGTCCAGTCTCCATCCATGACATGCTGTCTAAATTTTGCAGCTGCAGGATGATCTAGACGACAACCTGACTCTTGCATAAGAAGATCAGCTGTACGACTGAAAGTATCATTTTATTTTGTCAATTATAATTACCTATAAAATTTTTAACAACACAACAAAATATTAACTATTTAATTTTTGTTATCAGCACAATTCTATTCAATCTAGAGTAACCAACAAATTTTACTTAGTTGAACTTCAATATTGTTACTATGTTATTGAAGTCTGAGATGAACTTAACAATAACAATCTACTTTTCTGAAAAAATAATTGATATACCAATTAAATATGTATGGCTCTTTTTCACTGCCTACATCATTTATAAAGCAAGTATAACTTGTAGATACTAGTGACTATATTTCAAGCTTCTATAATTAGCTTTCTCCCACCACACAGTATGCAGTCCAGATAGGTTGTGATACAATACTTCTGATAAATGCATACATACAAATAAACCTCAAGAAACAAAATAAAAGGCTTGCAAAGTTTTATATGAATAAAAGGGTCATCATCAAAATTGAATCATAACATCTGTTTAAAATGGATTGTGAATCATATAGATTGAATCTTGAATTTTACTTCCAGCATACATTAAACATTCATTGTTTCATGGTTTTGTGATCAAACAAAGAACAATACATACTCGAGTCCAACTGTCTTCAAATGTTGCCCAATGAGTCTCACAATATCTTGATTAGTCTTGTCCATTATTTTCGGTGGTCCTAAATTCTGATTTGTTTCACCGTTGACACCATTGATGTCATTCTCAGAATCAGGTATTATGTTGCCATTCGCATGAGGTCCACCAGAATCTGCTGTACCCCCATTTTGCTGAAGCCCGGAGGAAATGCCACCGTTTGAGGTCTGCTGTTGCATTGTGCTGTCATGCACACGGAAATGTTACCCGTGATGGCAATAACTGGTCCGCAATATTAATGCATACGTGGTACTAATCGGTACGTCCTATCTTGATACAAGTATCTCTTCTTTTTTGCAAAAATCTTAAAACGACATTGTGGTTTTGTATAAAAGATCAGTGACTCGACGAAAATGATTTCAATGAATGAGAAAACCGCTCGAGAGACAGCGCATATGAAAGAAATCCGACGTGGATACGTCTTGAGATTCTGGAAGAAAGAAGATATACGTGAAAGCGTCGTAACGAAGGGGGTAAGCCCCTTCGTGTGTCGACTACTCGCTCGCGATGTTCTAGGGGGCCTGATTGTGTTACCGATAGTTTTCCATCTCGGGATCGGTGTGGTGCTCGTCCGCTGGTCGTAGGGTAGTCGGGAGAGAACTACGGGACCTTTTGCGCGGTGGCGGAGCGAGTCCACCGTCGTCCGACTCGCCGCTCGAGGCCAGGCTTATGCGCGTACCGCCCCGTTTTTCACACGATTATTGTTCCTAAGATCGTTGGTGGGGCTGGGGCTGGAGCACGCACGCAGCCACGGTTGCGTTCTACGGAAAACTCGTAGCCTCCCCCCTTTTTTTTTCCACTTTGCTTCCCGACTTAATGCGTATACCGTTTATCCCGTCGGACCTGGTGCCCGACGATCAGAAAACGAAGAAAAACAGAATTCTTGTACGACTGCCAAAACGGATACGAACAATGACTGCTACACAGCTGATACTTGTTTAGATCGTCGTTTACGTCACACTGTGATCTTCTTTGCAGATAGTTCCGCTGACTATGGCGCCCGCTATGTCCGCTCACATACGTTGCTTTTCTCAACCTGTAAAACCCGTTCACTTGGGGCCTTCGCCGTAAGATGGTAGCACTTTGACGCTGAAATACTATTTACCGGGTATTTTGATTTTTTTATACGGTGTTAGTTGAAATAAATCTGTTCAATTTAGTGGAAAAATATAAATTTGGGTAATTTCGATAATTTAATAACGGTTTATTAAGTCCTTTGTATGGATTCTTTGTTTTTCTCTTTAGTATGTAGCAAAAATATTAGTGTTCGATAACATAAACGGGAATGATGAAGAAAATCAAAGGCGTAACTAGCAAATCTTGGACCCGTGTGCTACAGTTTGTAAAGGAACCCTTTTATAGAAAAATTAATCTTTTCGATCATTTTCACTTAAATTTCGTCTCCTAGTAAACAAAATTAAGCAGTATATATCATATTTAAATCAAAATAGCTAACAAGATTCGTACATCAACATTTATTAAATTATAATTTTGTATAAAATATTGCTGGTAAAACAATTACGAGACTTCTTCGTTTTTGCTATTTATTACAAACGTACACTGCTGGAAAGAAATTAACTGATATTATATTACTGTTTTGTATGTTACAAAGCTGAGATTTTTATGAAAGCCTACATTGCACATTCTTAGTTACGTTACTGTACAAAATTGTAATTAAAAAAATTAATTTCTTTGTTATTACACAGATACGATTAGAATATTATTAAATATTATTAAAACATGTCAGTATATTTTGTATACTTCTATTATTAATAAAAATAATATTACATAATTTGAATTACTGTAAGTACAAAATGAAGTTTATAAAATATGCATAATAAATATAATAAAAGTTACGTTATATGCAATAATGAATTTGTCTGATGTATAGAAAATATAATGAAAAAGTTTGCAATCGATACGATACGATTCGTCGCACATTATGCTATCGGTGCACTATGATAGTTCATGCAGTTCACGCATAGTTTCGCCAGTGGCGCATTATTCTATAAACAAAAAGGACGTCTATACAAACTACTAATCATAGGAGGTCTTAAAATCAATATTTCAAATACTCATTAACGTTAATCGTTTGTAATATAAAAACTGACGATCAACATGTAAGATAATAAAATGGTAATTGTGGAAACGAGTCGAAAACTTAAGTGCAGTTTCCAACGTAACATCATATGTCAGGTTTTCAAGAGCACAAAACAAGTTTTCGATGTCCATAAACATCGGAATTTATATATTAATCGTTAATAAAGATTATAAATTCTTAAAAGGTTAAAAGTAAAAGAAAAAATTATACCGAATTATAATAATAAACCTTAAATAATATTAATATTAATTATTATTTACTAACGCTTAAAGTACTGAAGTATTCAAATACTAAAGCATTAAATTAAAACTTGTTTCTTCTATTAACAAAAACTAAGATTAAACGTTGAATTTCAATAAGTAGTTAATATTTCTATTTTAATCATTTTTTGGGAGAAGTATTAAAATAGTCAATATTTATTTAAAATTTTGTTAATTATTTTAACAAGTTTCCCAAGGTTTCTAAAAAAATTTGGAGTCGTTTTACTCAGCCTTTTCAAAAGTTACGACAGTTTCTATGTATAACAAATTTACACGTAGTTAAATGGAAAACTGGCCTGTTGAAACAATGTTTTACGATATTATCTCTTACGTAATTCGAATGGTTTTTTCTCTCGATAAAACGAATTCAAAATGTAAGTAAATTAATTTCAAAAATGTAAGTAAATTAATAAAGAAAAGAAACTAAAAACAAAGTATGAAAGAATGAGAGTTGAAATTTTAATGTAAAAAACTATTAAGGAATGAATGAGTGAAAGTAAGATATCTAGAAAATTTAATGTAAGACCTGCAAAAAAATTGTGCACCACTTTGTAGTGTAACAAGGAAGAAAAATTTCCAAATTTCCAAAATTTCAAAAAATTGTAAAAGTCTAAAGAAAATAAATAACCAACTAACTGGAGCCTGAAATTCCATTTTTTTTTTTTTTTTTTTTTTTTTTTTAAATTAATGTTTTACGTCGCATCGACATCGAGGTCATTAGCAACGAATTCTGGACTAACTTGTATTTTGTGGAAGAGTTTGGTTTCGTTAAGGAGAAATTCCATTTTGTCTTGGGCACCATGGAGGTATAATGCGCCACTGGGTTTCGTGGGGTGCAATGCAAGTCGATTCCGCCTTTAGGTTTGCTCCTCGACTATGGGAAGCCGGCGTGTGCCACTAGTCAGTCACTCGCCGGCCGCCGGTGAAGTACGTTGTGTTGGTGTTTCGTTCAGTCTTGTACGTCTTGCTCCAAAAGGACTGTCGTCCTATGTTTTTCAAACTCGCATGCACCACGCTCACCCAACAAACCTGACAAATGTTCCTCGAGTAACAATGTCGTTCCCGATAACGTGATTAACGGTTTTACCGCGATTTCCATAGGCGTGCGAAAGAAACAGAGAAAGAGAGAGAAAGAGAAAGAGAAAGAGAAAGAGAGAAAGAGAGAGAGAGATAAAAAGAGAGAGGGAGATAGACGAAGTGGAATTCGTTTCGACCGCGTCCAGGATCACGTGAGATCGCGAAGTCTCGTGTAAGCGGCGGCAAACGTGCGATTTTGTGTTGTGTTGTGTATTTTATAATATCCTTACTCAAAAGTGTTTATATTCGTTACGACCACCTGTTGCGCGCCTAAAGCACGCTTCTTTGTGTTATGTTGGATTAACCGGATTACGTGCATCGCCGGGATGTTCTCTTCGCTGAGATAAATCACTGGAAACGTAAAGAGGTAACCCTTTTGTATTTCTATGTTTCGCATACTCGCAATAACAACGAATTACTCTACGTACGAATTAACTGTATTGAACTCGTGTACTTTTGGAGTACGCTGTTGTAACAGATCGTGTGTTGATATATTTACCTTTTAACTACATCGTGACGATTCGGAGCATTAAAGTTGTTTTAATATGGTTTGTTGCTGCTAGTAGCTTTACATCATCCATATATAATGTGATTGTGTGATTTTCTGCGGAGTTGGTGGTTTGAAGTTGTTGTAATACATAGACATATATTGTTATACGACATTTAGTTTAAACGTATCGGTTGAAAGTATTTTCTGTAGTTTCTTTTCTATTGAAAGTTTTCGATACATGTACTAGCATTAGGTTGTCCGAAAAGTTTCTTTCGCTTTATTAATAAGTAATACATGCACAATAGTTATGTTTTATGTTACATTACTGAATTGTGCACGATTCATTTTGCTCCATTCCTGTTACAACATGAATATCTATGAAATTAGATTGTCTATTTATATAAACACAACCACATAAAATAACTGAGTGCAACTCGCGAAAGAAACTTTCGGGACAACCTAATAGTATTTCGGAGCGTAGAACTGTTATAGGTTAATTTAGCGCGGCATTTTCGAAAAGCGCGGGTAACGAAAATTAAGATGTACATTGCTCCATTACTTCTCCATAGGCAACGGCCTCGAGGATAATGGTATCAATTTTTTTTACTACCCAATAGGATGTTTAACATCCCGCTGATAATTCACGTAACGCAAAAAAGTAAAACGTTTAATGGTCTATCGATTGACTATTTCATGCTTTCAATATATTCCGTCGTAGCGCCAATAAATCAATTCCACCGTCCATTACCTTAACCACACACTCAATTATAGCTCATCGCATGGAAATATATTGTCCGATAAATCCAAATTCGCATTTATAAAATATAAAACTTGGAGAGATATCCGGACAAGCTATTCAACTATTGAAAAGAAAAAGTTATCGGAATAAAACCAAGTCTAATGTTTCGTCGGAATAAATGGAGTGCTAATTTCCGCTCCGAGTTTGATATATTATTATCATTATATTGATATATTACTCCATAATTGTTTTGTTTTTGTAACGAAACGCGTACTCCATCGGCACGAAAATTGCTTTCTAAACGCAGTCCTCTCGACGAGATATCCCCGTCGCCATTCTTTAGTATTCCTCCGGCAAAAAGTGTTAATGACCCCTTTCTCTCGTTCTAAGTTCGTTCGAATAAGTCCGCGAAAATCGAAATAGTAGCGTTATTGCGAAAAACTGCCTCTACTCCCCGGAGGAGAATTACACGTATGCACGATATTCGCGCGTAAAGAATTCCTCGCGGCGGACGTGCACTTTTAAATACGTGTGCGTCCGTGTATGCGCATTTCGACGACCACCGTACGACAGCACGTCGCCGAGTGGAATGAGCCGATTGTAGTGTGACGAAGAGGGGTTGCAAGGGTCGACAGCAGGACGACGGCCGTCGGAGGGGAAGGAAGGGACTCGAGGAGTGATGGGTATTCGATACTCTCTGTCAAGGAACATCATACAATTGACAGTTTTCAATTTGTGTAAGATTTGGTAAATGAACCATTAAAAAATTCTAATTCGTGTTCAAAGGGTGAATACCACCCTTGAAATTTCTGATAAGATACTCGTGTGATGAAATATTTAAGATTTGTAGCAGACAGAGGAGATTATATAAAATCGTAAATAAAGAAGCATGATTACAAAAGAACTCGACGAAACGTTTCTGTATGAGCACTCTCTCAAGGAACATCATCCAATTGACAATTTCCAATTTGTATAAGATTTGGTAAACGAACCATTAAAAAATGCTAACAAAGTTTTTTGGGGGGCAGTTGATATTCACGTTCGAGGGATGAATACCACCCTTGAAATTTCTGATAAGATACTCGTGTGATGAAATATTTAAGATTTGTAGCAGACAGAGGAGATTATATAAAATCGTAAATAAAGAAGCACGATTATAAAAGAACTCGACGAAACGTTCCTGTATCAGAGAAAATTTCAGAGAAAAATTCACCTTTCTTATGTGCAATTTCTTGTCGCATTTATAAATTAGGCTTTCATGCATTGAATTGCGAAGATGATTTCAAATCAGACCAATGCTTTTATAGATTTCAGAGAAAATTTCATCTTCTGTACGCCCTCTGGCATTTATAGATTAGAATTTCTTCCAACGAATTCTCGAGATGGTTTCGAGCATGAAACCGAAACCGTTTAAGCCGTTTCCAAGATTTCGGACAAGCTCGTTGAAAAATTTGTCGAATTCTTCAAGGACTAACAGTTTCGAATAATATTCAAGGTATTTGGAAGCGTCTCGAGTCCATCGCTGGTCGCGGGACGGGAAGAGAGTCCATGGGGGGAGGGCACATTCCACAGCGGATGCGCATGCGCGCATTCTGACTCGCGGCACCCGCGCATTCGACCGCGTGTAGCCAGTGTTGTTGAGGTTAACTTCTTCTGGTTTATATCTGGAAAAAGTAATCTCGTTGCGGAACGTGAACCGCATCCGAGTACACCTTTGGGATTGAGTAACCAACGGATGACCATTTCGGCAATAATTTTCGCCTGGAATTAAACTTGCGAATTTTCGGAGTTACCGAGAATATAGCTGAGAATAAAAATTCTAATTCTAAATTCTTCACAAAATTATATATTGAAATATTGAAAACGTCAAATACAGATTAAATACAAACGCTGAGAATAAAAATTCTAATTCTGAACTCTTCACAAAATTATATATTGAAATATTGAAAACGTCCTTTGTTGGGACACAAAAAAAAACACTCTTTCAAGAATCATAAAAAATATTCACTCATTAATTATTTCTTTAATAATGCTCGAATAATGGCGGAGATACACCTTAACAATTTTTAAAAATTCCACAAAATGCACTTAGAATAAGAGTATCTTTCAATTAGATGCATCTGTAATGACCGCATATCGTCCGCCATCTTAATCGAACAAACAATGAATGATTAAAGAGCTTAAAATCTACCTTTAAAATCTTCGAAACGTTACATTAAATTTTGAATTCCTTTTTTTTCATATTAACGTGAATTGTACATAAGCATATAACATTCGACGTCGATAAAGAATATTTATAACGGCAGGTTTTTAGCAGACACAGACAATTTACATTCCTCCGACTCGACGTGCATTCTGTATGAGAAAAAGCCATAAAGGAAACGATTCGACAGGAAATTTTTCGCATAAAACTTTACGATTCTTTCATATTTTCTGAGTAACAGAGACTGTTTTGCTCACTGTGTATTAGTTGGCGTAATTTCGCTGACGGGAATTCCAACGCTATGATTTTCTACGATCTTTTCTATGTGGTTTATGTACGCCGGCGAGAATGCTCGTCCTTTTGATGCGTTGGAACTCTTACAGACTTTACAGTTCGCAACCATAATGGTATAGAAATGCTCGACTGGAGGCACAGAACACTTCCCCAACGTTGGTTCGACGCTCTGAATATGAATACAGTGAGACCTCGTTATAACGCCACTAGTTGGGGTCGCTGGTGCTGTTATATCGAGGGGAGATCGGGATTTTATTTTGGAAATTATGTATCGAGTCATGAGTCATTTATTTTACATACAGCGAATGAAAATAGAAGGTAGTCCTAAAACTGTTCGATCCAATAATCATAGGGAATAAATCATTAGATATATTACGTATGCTACATGAATATACAAGGGAGAAACAATAAATTATTCAACTTGGAATTAAAATATTGCTTCAAAAAAGAAGTTATTCGAATCAAATTATTTTTACATACTCTTTGAAAGGTAGAAACGGGAGTACGGTTCCTGTGATCCGTTTATTTTTCAGTTATCAAAATGATGTAAAAAAGTGTTGTTCCAAATTCAATTTTGTACTATTCAATTTTGTACTATTGCATTCCGCGTTAAAAACCATAGAAGAATATTTTCAAAACGTAGAAAATAACTGCATGTTGAATGCCTCCCTTAAAAATTGTTTCCAACCCCAATCGAAATGCAAAGTTTCAACAAACTGTATAAAGAAGCGAACGAAGCCCGCGTCGCGGCTCCGTACCCGTGGATGGTATGCAAAAAAGAAAGGAATGCATACACTTCTTTCGTTTCGTGTAAAACCGCACGATGCGGCGTGCGTGACCAAGTGTTCACGATATCGTAAGTTATTACTCCCCGTGTCATACCGGCCACGTTAGCTTTGCATCCCCTCGCGCCCTCGGTGCTGCCTTGTACTTTTGTATGTTTGTCCTGCGTAAATATCGCCTGCGCAAAATACTTTTCGAGGCTACGTTGGAGGCCGTTGTGCCAGGGCAAATAATATCCCAGTCATCTCTTCAGCCGACATTCGAGAGGACGTCCAAAGACCTTTGGTACGGCAGCGTCGTATTTTCAGCTCCGGCTGAACAAAATCTTCTTTTGAACTTTTCAAATCTGCTGCGGGTGGCTACACCGCGACCGCTCGTATATTTTTAAATAGCGAACAATTACGAAGCACCGCGTAACTCCGACCATATTCGTTTTATATAGTACTCGTTTTTTTTTTCTTTTTTTTTTTTTTGAGAACATTAACGTTGAATGTTTGGCGAATGTGCGGTCATTTAACGAATCGCTATAATAAAATATACAATAAAGGTCTGTAATGTATTCCAATATTATAATAATATGTGCATTCAGTAGAAGAATGAAGAGAATACGATTATGACAAGTATCAATAAAAGAAGAAAGAAGATAAGATTTCACGTGAACATCCTATAAGAGAACTTAATAGCCTCCAATGCGTGTGGCACGGTTCTTAATACCTAGTCGATCGCATTTTCCTATGCTAATTACTCGTCTAGTCATTTGTTACGTTACCCAGCTTGCTCAAGAAAGAAACCAAAGAGATTTACATAGGCACGAGTAACACAATAGCTGACGATGCATCGGGGAGATACCGTATAAAT